CATTGCCACGACTACAGAGGGAAGGGACTGAAGACTTGTTTTGGCAACCTACTCGCGGCGGCCACCTCTGCTGCCTGTATACGGTCTTGCCCTTAAATATCATACAGGCAACTGGCTTGGACATCTCTCCCACTGACAGTGCAAGCAGACAGCACGGGTAGCTTTGCATAGGAGATAGAGCATGAATATGGCTCTGAGGGGATAATACAGAAATTCAGCAGGCCCAAAAAGGAGCCATTGCCCACAATGATTTACTCAAGAGGATGCAAAGACACTGAGAAGGGGGGAGCAAACCCAACCGCACTGCCTCTGAACCCCTTGCTCCCTTGCAGGCAGTAGCCTAGATTGCAGGTCCCCTAAAAACAGGAGACAGGGAAAGCTTTGGAAGCATCTTTGCTTTGGCCTCCCAAAGCTTGCATTTTCTCCAGAAAATTTTCTCAAGGTTCCTCAGGAGCAGACGCTGTTACACTAAACTGCAGGAAAAAAAAAAAGTTGAAGAGCGAGGAAATTTTCCTCTTGTTTCTTTCTACAGGAAGCTGGAGCTGGAGGAAATTCCTGCCAGCAGATGCAGCCAGAGTGTGTCTTGCATCCTCCAACTGAACTTAGCCGTTTCAGATTTCCAAACGGGCTGTCAAGATTATCAATGTCTGCAGCACAAACACACATGAACAAGAATAATGAAGGAAGTTTAAAGGTCTCCTTCTTGCAGGAGGCCAAGACTTGGGGCATGGGAGGGCCCGCCTGGCTTCTCACTCCTTCGAAGTGGGGTCACGCTGAGACAGTCAGGAAGACACAAGCAGAGTGTTGTGTTTGGCGGATGTGGCATGGAGGTCACCTCCTGTGGTGTCAACAGGATGGGTTTCTGGGCATGCCAATGCTCTTTCTCTCCCAGTACATTTTCCCCATCAAACTGCCTTCCAAAATTGCACCAAAAAGTGAAGTCACTGATTTCTGAGCACGGCTTTTTGGAGGGACCGGGCAGATGTGCAGCCCCTCTAAGGAGGAGACGCTCCCGGCGTCCGCCCGCTCCGCCTGGGACCGCGCTGGGTCAGCAGCCTGCCCAGCGGCAGCTCCCTGCTGCCTCCTGCCTTTTCAGCACTTGCTCTGAGAGCCTGCTGGATGCTTGAGCGTTCAGCTCCTTACAAGGCCCTGGGGAGCCGCGCGGAGACTCGCAAGGGAATCTCTCCAGACTCGGCAAAGTCAGAGACAAACAGGCGGACATGCAAGAAGTAGAGTCACGGAACAGCAAATGGTGGCGTAGGAGCAACCGTACAACTCTCGTGTTGCTACCAGTTTTGTAGTTGCTGTAATCGTGGTCTCATCCCTTAACCCAAATTCTCGTGTCTGTCCGAATAAATAGTATGAGATATTTTAAACATTTCACATAGCAATTAATTTTATTTTCCTAGTGGAGATGTGCAGGGGTGTGCTCAGCGTGGTTGGACGAAGGAAGTGGCCATTCACAAATACCCTTCAATGGTCAGCGGCTAAACGGCCTCCAGCCTTGCCTGCCAAACCCATCTGCCAATCAAATCTGTATTCTTTGGCATCTGCACGAGTTAAAACCTACTTTCAGAGGCCAACTGGCTCCTAACCATAGAGACCGAGAGTTTATGCTTGGCCAGCATAGGAAGAACAGGCTTGTTCTTGGTGGCAGTGGAAGGAATTTGTGTTTAGTCTCAGACCATCAAATCTGGGTTTTTGCAATATTGAACATGTTTTTTTTTTTTTTTTCTTGCAAGCTGAATAGCAGAGGGGAGAGAGAGAGAGAGAGAGAAAGAAAAAAAAAAAAAAAGGAGACGGGAAAAGCTTTCCTGTTTGCGGGAGCTCACAAGCATTTTATGAGCACAGATTCTCCACATAAAGTTTTCCTGGCATTTCTTTGTTTCCTCTCAGTAATGCAATCACACAAACTGCTCCATAAATGCAGAAAGAGTAAAATGCTCCCAAAGACTGTCAAAATAAAAGTTAGTTGAAATCCTTATCTAGCCTTAAGTCACTCTGTGCCTAAACTTGCAAGAGCTGGGCTGCTCCAACATTGTGTATGCTCGGTGAGGTTTCACTCGTCTCTTGTCTTGACCATCTAAGCTTGAATGCTCAGTTTCTCTTTCATATGTGGGTTCTTACTCCTCATATAATTTTGCTGCATTTCATCTGCAAGTATTGCATGGGGGAGATAACAGCTACACGTGACACGGTTTTGAGCTAAGAAGGGGGAAGGCAAAATGCATTGCTGCATTTAGACAGGACCGTAAAGTGGCATGGCATCACGGATGGGTCTTCCTAAAACCAGGCCCAGGTATTTGGAAACCACAGAAATGACCCAGCCTATTCCCACTACCATAAACTGCTTGAAGAGCCATTTTTTTCTAAAGACCCAACAATATTATAAAGCAAATATTTTCCACTTAAGGACTGTTAAAGAGATGCAATGTTAAATCACCTAAGCGAAAGTGGACTACTAAATATTCCTCAGTTTGGGGCTTTTCCAATAAAACAGGGACAGGAAAGGATCTCTGCTCTTGGACAGAGGACTTGAAAGGACAAGCAGCCAAATAACCAATGCAAACTGGAGTTCAGTCAGTGCTCTACGATGGAAAACACCAAGAGTTAAATAAGTTGGGAAAACAAACAAATAAAAAAGCACAATAAAAAAGGCAAAGGAAGGAAAATGGCAAACAAGCAGCGATGTCCATGACTTGGCAGCAGGCGCGGGTGTGGAAGATAATCCAGCACTCTGGCAAAGCCTCGTTTTATGCTGTTGTCCTCCCAACGCCCCAGTGAAGCGAATGAAGCTCTACTTTATAGAAGAAAAGCCAACAGAGAGAGAATGGGGCCCGTATTTTAAACCTCGTTAGATGTTTGCCTGTACAGCACTCGCTGCAGATTAAGCTGACAGAAATCATCTTGTGTTTGCTCAAGGACATGTGTGTGGACACAGACATGATGGCTCAGTCGACTCAGGATAACTCCCTTAGCTTAACCTGGCGCCGTGGGAAGCTGAAAGTACTTCCAAAACCAAGATTTTAGGCTTGCAATGCCAAAGGCCAAAATAGTTAATGCTGTTAAAGATCTAGGCCCAAGTGATGCAGGGTCTCACAAAACCGTCTCAGAAAGGACAAAATTCGCTTCCCTAAGTGCCCGAGCTCCTGGCAGATCCTTCTCAACCCCTTTGGGTCATCACTGAGCGGGACGGCACAGGGCCTTGCAGCAGTGTGTATCACCACTGACCCCATCTGCTCTCCCATGCCAACCACTTGTGACACAGGCCCAGGGAACACATCCCTACCTGGTGGCCCACGTGGGGCTGCATTCTCCATGGGAGGCAGCACTGGGAGACTAAGGTAGCTTTGACAAGGGACAAGTGAGAGGCAGGAGGTGGCACACTGCCCATCATCGCTGCACATCTGTCAGAAATAACAGTTGTTTCCACCCATGATCTGAAGACCTTTGGAATCCACAAGTTCTTCTGAAGGGCTCACAAAGGTAAAGCAGAAAAGCAACCTTAATCCTTTCTGTGCTTCCAAGCCTCCAAAAGCAGAGTTCAGGGAAACAACATACACTAGTATCTTCCTTTCTTCTTCACAATAAGC